TCGATTGGACCTTTGGCGATGCCGTTCGAGGGGGTAAGGTATTGAGTCGGCTCGCCTTGACGAGTGGGTGCTTGCCACTCTGGTCGTCTTGTGGCTCGCGGTGGAGGCTGGTTGTATTGGCCGGGCATCCACCCACCCGGACCGCGAGTGGGACGTGTGAATTCTGCCTCAGTAGGAGTATCAACACCCCAGCCAGCCGCGCGCTCACGCTGCTTCTGTATTTGCTCTTCCCTTTCTCTTTCACGCTTTATCCGTTCTCGAGCTGCCAGCCACTTCGGACTGGGCTCCCACGACCATCCGTCTCCAGTTGTTGTTACCAGTGGCACGAACCACTTCAACGGCGAAGGGCCAAAAACATGTCCGATGTTGCGCTTCCAGCCCAGATCGAATGCGTTCGGTAGCATCTCGTTGTCGCGCTCGTCGAGGTAGCTGTCGTAGCGGTCTTGGTTCTGCTGGCGTTCTCGGTATTCGTAGGATTGGTAGTGCGGGTGGGAGTAGCCGTTCGCGTGGCCTGGGACGGGAGAACGCGATGCGGAGCGCGAAGGCTGCTCACCCTCTTCGGGTCTGGTGACTCCCGGGAGAGCGTTCGCGTGGATCTCGCGCAATTGGTCGCCAACGCTCAAGCGACCGTTTGCTTGCGCCTCGACATAGTTTCGGTCGTTGAGTTGGTGCTTCATCGTGCTTCGGAGTGGTGAGAGGTAGCGCGTCTTCTCCAAGCTCTCGATCGTAGTCTGGCCCCTGACCGTAAGCCATAGATGCCATGCGGTGAAGCCTGTTATGACAATTCCGATAATGCCGGACAGCACAGCGAGCAAGACGTAGTTGACGGGCATGAAGGACTCGGTGTATTGCCCGTCACTGAGGATTTCGCTCCAGACCCAGGTCGCAGATGTCGCAAAACACACCCAGCAGAAGAAGGAGAGATATGTCAGGAAGAGGACGAAGGCTTTGTAGTTGCGCAGGCCAACGCAAGTCGCGAGCCACGGGCAGTGGTGGTCCATCTTCAAGACGCAGCGCTTGCATGTGGAGCAGTGGTGGGAGCGGTCGGGCTTCTTGGACTGGCACTTGTTGCAGAAGCGCAGTTCACCGGTCGATGCCTTGACAGTGAAGGACGTGTACTGCATCTCTCCTCCCTCTTGTGACGGCAGGTGGCTATAGCCATTCTTGATATTGAGCGGCGATCCGGGGTCGGTGAATACGGCGGTCGTGTAGCTCCAGTTGAGCATGAGATAGAGGAAGACGCCGAGGGCAGACGAGAACTTTCCTATGCGGCGTGTCAGTAGTCGCGTCCAGGTATTTGTTTAAAGTGGTCTCATTGGACATGGACAGATATGCATTGGATGTATTGTACAGAGGGAGACGCACCCGTCCAGACATTCTTCGACGGGACAAAGCCGATGCCAGCCTGCACCCACACGGCCCACGACGTCAGGCCGTAGACGAAGAGCAGCGGGAAGTAGGTGACGGCGGTGCAGCAGTAGCGCTCCACCTTCCTGGCCCAGCCGCGGCGGCGCATGGTTCGCGAGGGGGAAGTCGGGGGAGAGGGCGAGCCCAGCGTGGCCATGTCTATGGACGCAGCGAGTGGGCGGGCATGTGGTGCGGTGGGTTGCGAGGGGATGTTTGTGCCTGGGGTCACCCCGTTTAGGCGCAGATCGAGGACGGGCGGCCTGGAGAAGGGGAGGCTGCGGAGGACAAGCAGCCGGCGCACGACTAGTTTCAGGGTGCAGCGGCGCACAGCATGACACAAACTAGCAAGCAGCGGACGGGGCGGACTTGAGAGATGGAATAGGTAATGTAGTGCTGCAGAAACAAGTCGTGCAGGGTCACGGGGTGTCGTCGTCCAATTCGTGGTCTAGTCGTGTCTGATCGTAGTCATCAATAGTCGTCGTAGTCCAATGTTGTAAGCGTCGGCGTCGTAATCGGTGGTGGAATGAGGCGCATGATGGGTAGCGCAGAGGGTAGCGTGTCCCGGAGTACGCAGCGGCGCGCCTTGCTCACATCGACTCGGCACGCCGACCACGTGACGCCGTTGTTGGGACCGCCAACGCGACGCGGTACGTATGCATGTCATAAAACAAAAAGTCAGCCGCAAGCACCAACGGACAGGTGGCAGGTCAGACGCGCCTTTCAATTTTGGAGTACTTCCACTTTTGGAGGCGTCTGGGTGCTGTCGCCCGTTTCAACTGCGCCGTCGCACACTCAGCCTGCGACGGCCGCGTCCTCTACAAGCTATATCCACCCGGGCGAGCGTAAAATAACGGCAATCCCGGGTGCATGCGCGATAATCTAAGGTAGCCTGATACAGTGGTTACAAGACGCAATGTCGGTGCCACACCCCGGCATGCTCCCGTATTGCTCCCGCCGCAACCTGCGACATTTAGACATGGCCCTCGCCCAGCGCGATCTGCTTCGGTCCTGCCACACAACGTCCTAATGCCTACTTTGTTCTTGCGATAGCGTGCCCCCACCTCCTCGACTTCGCGGACATGTCTAGCAACTCTCCTTCAACAGCAACAACTTTTGGCCCATTACCTTAGCTAGACATGCTTGCCTCCAGGAAGCGGCCCACGCCGCTGCTGCTGCTCACAGTCCTCGTCCTCATCGGAATATGGTACCACAGCAGAGACACTGACCGCATATACCTGCAATGGATGTCCTCGATTGAGTCGCGCCCTGCAAAGATACCCTCCAACAAAACCTTAGGCTTCGGCGCCGTCGTAGTCGTGTCCAAGGATGGCTCCTCGCGCCGCAAGCCACTCCTGCAAGCTGCCAATGTCACCGACATCGACCTTACCATCCCGACCCAGCCAGAATGGACAGAAGGCGACGTCCAGCGCTTCATCAACGGTCAGGAAAAGGCGCAGAAGGGATCGATACTAGCGTGGTTAGGGCACCACAACGCGCTGCGCTGGTAAGTTATATCGACGCCGGCATGCCACCCGTCTTGGCGTGCATGCAGCCACATCGAGCAGCTGCTGATTCGCCATGATTTAGGTTTCTGGATTCAGGCCTCGAGACGGCTCTCATTCTCGAAGACGACGTCGATTGGGACATTCGCCTGCGCAGTGTCCAGATACCCCTTGCGGCAAGCGCTGCCCGACAGCTCCTTCCTCCACCACGCGCTCAACACCCGGGCGTCAACACCGCCAGCAACCACACACAATACTGGGGCGACCAAGATGCATGGGATCTGCTCTATCTCGGTCATTGCGGGGACTACTTCGACATTGTCACCGAGGACGGCCCAAAGACCGACCGCCAAAACTTCAATCTGAGCGCTATGCCACACATCCTATGGCAAGATCCTACGCTCCCATCGTGGATTAACCTGCACCCATTTACGCAAGACCTATTCCGACTTTTAGGCATGCCCGAGAAAACGCGCGTCATGCACCGAGCCAAGTTCCCCCTCTGCTCCTTCGGATACGCCGTCACACGCCGCGCCGCCGAACGTCTCCTCAACGATCTCGCTCCGCCGAAACTGAAGAAGTCAGGAGCCCGCGCATTCGACGTCGCCCTTCTTCACGCCTGCAACAAGGGAGAGAACACGCCATCTCCCACACCAGAGTGGCAGAGAGCCAACCCACGAACTCGAAGCAAATACCCGAGCCCCGGACTACGGTGCTGGACACTGAACTCCGAGCTATTCCATCACATGCCTGGTAAAAGCGAGATTGATTCAATTGGAGAGAAACTCGGCGAGGAACATAGCCTGCCGCCAGTAGACCTGGCAGCCCAAGCGCAGGTCGTATACCGAAACGAGACCACAAACATCGACTGCGGATTCTGGAACGGCGCCTTCGCGTTCGACGAGGACGATACCGAACGGCTGCATTTCCTGCAAGAAAAAGTTGGGAGGCAAGGCAACTGCCTCAAAGAAGGCAAAGACCGAGACGAGATCACATACCCGCCTCAAAAAGCGATGACGTGAGAAACCCTCAGTACAACATCGCATGTCACCTTCCATGTACATATTAGATTTCACGACGAGCACATCTTAACAGGATACCCGGCGTTATAGACACCACGGGATTTACGGGCGTTTAGCAGGAGCATCAACTAGGATTTCATCGGCGACATGAAGCCTCAGGACAAGGCGCAACATGATCTTTCTGGATTTTCTTCTCTACACTTTTTAGGGCACTATACCATAGCGGCGATTTCATCTACCAAGGCGTATGTATGTGAGGGCACGGTTTCGAGACCACCTTTTTGTCACAGTTTACGATAGCTTCTATCGACGTTACTTTGATCCGCTTCATGAAACAGATTCGCATTGCATTTTCTCATGCTTCTTTGCCTAGTGACGTACACACATGTTCTCCCCTCGAAACTCCAATGCAAGGACCACAAAAAGTATGACCGCTCATTCGGTACACGGCAGCACAACACCAACGATCGCAATACTAATCTTCTCCACTTGCAACGTGTGGGGCCGTACTCAACCACCGCGCAATCACCGACGTCACAGCGAAACTACCAATGCAAACCGACAACACGATAAGTAATCAACCCCCAAACCCACCGATGACCAAGAAAACTTTTCCCATCCTCTTCTCACTCTTCCTAACCGTAAAATAAGCACGGCAATTCCCACATCACCCACCCGTCCTCAACACGTTGAGTTCCTTAGCCCACGTCGGCGTACCTGTCGATCTGTCCAGCTCGTTTCGGACAACGGACAAAGCAAGCCTTATCCTAGTACGGAAGTGACATGTAGATCCTTGCCCGCGTTTTGGGACAGCGACGTGTAGGCTGTCTGGGCGTGAAACAAGCTTTTTTAGGGCCGATGGCCACGTGTTTGTGATAGGGGAGGGGGAGAGGGAGATTTGAGGGGGGGTTGGGTAGGCGTTGTTGGAGGGTGCTGACGAGGTGTGGAGGGTGTTGGTGATGCGGAGGGTTGGCGTGCGATATTGAGTGAGTTCGCGATTTTGTGGGGTGCCGAGTCGGGAGAATCGGGTCCGGGTTTGTTGAAGGCATACTGCTGAACTAGATTCGATTCAATCGTAAACTCTTGATAGCAGATCCAACTCTTCCTCCGTCGTCGAGCTCATAATGTTGCCAATCGCATCGCAGTCTTGCTCTCCATGTCTGGACCTCTTCCAGTCTTGTAGTAAGTCTACCACGGAGTTGTGGCCATGATTTTGCGCCCAGTACAGTGTCCTCCTGTAGTTATGATTGTGCCGTCCCTGAACATTAGCTCCAGACTCGAGGAGGTAGGTGACCATTTCGAGATTGCCCTTGTCAGCAGCGATCTCGACTGCGCTCCTGCTCCATTTACGCGTAGTAGAATTGACATTAGCTCCAGCTTCAACTAATATGCTGACTATCTCGAGAGAGCTCCCGTAGACTGCTTTTTGTAGTGGCGTCAAGTTTGACCGGCTACTCAAGACGTTGACGTCGGCCCGGGCCTCTACTAATTGGCGCACTATAGCAACGTTCCCTTCTTCTATCGCCGAATGAAGCGGTCTTATTATTGAACCCGAAACATATGTGTACGACAGAAGGTTTGGATTGGCACCCATTTGGAGGAGACACCTGACTTCTTCGCAATAACCGCGTTCCACAGCTTGTTCGAGTGCATTATGGAGGTACTCTTGCACATAGTCGTATCCCATGGCTAGTTTGACGTGGTCAGGACGCCATCCAGCATCTAGGATTGCCTTTCCGAGAGCGACGTTCTCGGTACAACGAGCTGTTACATATCCAGCAGTCAGCTGTCGTAGACGTTCTTGACGCCGCTTCCTGTCGAGAGCATGATACGGGAACGTGAGGAACTTTCCAAGATATCTGGTCTTACTAGTACGCAAAGAGACCATAAAAGCGCTGTCGCGAGGCACCCATCCAGTGGCGAAATCTCCTCTATCGGCTCTGGAGTAAGGGTTAAAGCCTGCTTCGAAGAGGATATCTACTATGTTGTCGTAGGATTGTTCCACGGCGTGAACAAGTATATCCAATCCTTTCCCGCCTGGTTTGGAATGCCAAGTCGCTTCACTAGCGAGCTGTGGTTTCGCGAAGTCTATAGTATTCCGAGTGAATGCGCCCGAGAGGAAGTCGGAATCGACGACTGGACTACCAGTGAAGATTCTAGCACAGCAGCTATTCAGGATGTCAATCACGTTCTTATTACCGCCGAGGATAGCTATTTGTAAAGCGTTGAAAGCTTTGAAAGTTGCCGTTGAATCGTGAAACTGTCTGGAATGTCCTCTCGCGTTGGCATCCACTCCAACGTCGAGTAGCATCTCTAATAGCGCTTCGTTCTCATCTTTCACTGCATCGAACAAAAGATTCTCGCAAAATTGTCTCCATTTTACCTCTGCGAACGAGTTCCCGTCTGATTTGGAGAGGAACACTAGGCGACGGAGAAGCGCAAGATCATCGGCAGTGTTGAAAGCTCGCAAAATGTCGTACAGATCATCTTGTGGTAAGTTGTGCTTGACAAAGAACTGGAGAAATTCATCGTGCCCGTCGTAGAGAAGCTCCTTCACGGGCCTTTCGTTTAGATAGCGAAGAGCGTATCTCTCCGTTATGGGGACATCATCAAAACCCTCGTCCTCAATGACAGAGATGGCTGCACACATGTACTCATACAATATGTCTGAACATGAGCGCTGTGTTGAGTCTGAGACCGAATGTGGGGACAGAGACTGTAAGTGTGTCGCTTCTGAGGGTGTTTCGGTAGAAATATGGCCGGACACGTCAGATACAGCGGTCACATCTGGAGCTGTAGCTGCCGGCGACAACACACAATCGTCATCCCGGGCGTGTACAAGTGATCCTTGAGGATTACCAGCTGTCGGTACTTCTTCATTGAGGTGTTCGTCATGCTCTGGCCCCTCGCTCAGCTCCTGGCAATCGCGCTCTACAGTCGGCGGTGGCGTCGAAATTTCGATGCCTGGTGGCGTTCGAGAACGAGGCTGAGGATGCAGTCCTGATTGATCAGTCAGTGGATCGGCATTGCTAACGACATCTCTTCACCTACGCGATTTGCAGAGATCAAAAGTTTTATCCCGTCTCCGGAGCTTCTGGCGCTGTAGCCTTGCCTGCGATACCGTTACACCACGGACTTCGACGTTTGTTGGACGCTTCCTTTCGTCCAGACGATCGAGAATGAAATTCCATTCCTCTTTCCGCACATTTTTCGAGACATGCCATCTCTTGAAAGATCGTTCATATTGCGGCTTGCTTTCATTTTGATTAGCAAAGTACTTTTTTGGTGTAAGCCATCGCTCACGTTCGTATAAAGCCGTGCGTGGCCATGGCGTGCATGACGTCAGACAGCGGCTTGTCTTGCTCAACGTATAGTGAGAGGATGTCTTTCTTTCGCAACATCCATTCTGATTCTTCTTGTTCTAGTCTTCTGGGCATTGCTCGAGTCTCTGACAAAGGAGTAATCGCTGTTGTGGAGTTCAGAGTAAGACCTTAGTGTGAGTGGTCCTTGGCGATAAGTAAGCGGTAAGCGGTGAAAGGCGCAGAAACCTCAGGCAAGATATCGAAACTCGTCAGGCTCTGGCGCAGTGGTATGGAACACACAAACAGAACTGTAATATCTGGAAACAACATCTGATTGCGACGTTCAGCAAGTAAAAGGTAGAGGGGGTGAAGACGTTGAGGATGAAGCGAGGTAAGCAGCACTCCATTGGTCACTTTCAGAATCATCGCAAGCTCACCACAATTTTCCCGCAAGGCTGCTTCTCTTTGGTTTCTATAACTCGGTGATTGGATGATGCCATAATCTTCGATGGCATCTGCCACGTTGTACACAGCCGCAATTGCCCCGCGTGGGTTGAGGCGCCACGTGACTCGGGACGGTCCATCTGGTAGGTCTATGCCAAAATCTCTCATGCGATGTGCTTCGAGCGTAGTGAGAATAACTGTGAAGCACGCGCTCCAATCTTGGTGATTGGCTATGTCTGGTTGCTCCTGGCACGGAGCGCAGTGGAGCTCCAGCAGGGGTAAGATGCAACCCTTAGTCGGTCGAAGGAGGGCTCTCGCTTTTGAGAAGCTACAGGGCTGTACCTACCATGCCTGCAGCTCGTCCGGGCACGGATCACAGATCCACCTAGCATACTCGTGCGTATATGTAATTGGACGCAGCCACCGGCATGCCGCTGCCTGCGTGCACAGCCTGATCGCGAACGTGCAACGGCTTTGACTTAGCATGCCACCTGCATGCGACTCGCGCCCCAAGGTAAACCTAACTGAGTCAAATGTCTTTCGGCTACCACAATGGCGGGTGCATATCCAGAAGACAAAAGATCTGAGCATCCGTGCCAGCCTCTTACGTATGTTCATGCTAGAATGCGATTGTGAGCTGGTTGGTCGCAGCCATAATCATCGATCAAGTAGCTGAGCCGCTTGGGGTATATAACAGTCCCCTCTCGCTGCTATGCCCAAGATCAAACAACAGCCATAGGGCTCTCATTAATACTTACCTAAGACCCATGTACATATGTCAGCCATCCTCCACTCGTTTCAATACAAAAGTATCGTCCTGAAGCGATGCCACTCGACACCCAAAGCATAGTTGCTATCGTGGCCCTACTCATTACATGTCCACCGACAATCTGGCTTCTATATAAGTTATACATGCGACGTCGAGACCGAAGTATTCACGGTATGTACGCATGATTCCGAGGTCTCCTACCAGACCAATGTATAGCTAACTATCCTAGGATCAGACAGTCTCCTTCCGACGCATACGCACACTCTAAGTACACACATACCGAGACGCAACATTCTCCTTCGGCAGCAGCGCGCACACACGTGGTCGTTACACACAACCATTATGCTCGAAGATATGGCGTCTGTATACCATCATGAGTCGAGAGGTACATTGGCACACCTTCACGTGTGTACATATGACACTGACTCAATATAGATGGGAGAATCTAGTTCAGTTCGAAGCATCCTCATGTAGACGCGGTTGATCGCTCGATTTCCCAGATAGCATACTGGGACAAGCACCCCGGGTTATCGAAAGCGGGCGCAGACCTTGCCAATATAGTAGACGTCGTGAATGATGGTAAACATGAGGAGGTGCAAGAACCAGGCGATGCCTGCAGGATACGATGTGATACGATGGGTGTATGTAGACAACACCGATAGCATATCAGTCTCCGGACTGCCCAATACCTTCATGGTGCTCTCTCATATTCGGCGATCCTGTCTCTGCCCGCTGTTCCCATTCTATGCTCATGGCACCGCAGGTCGCTTCTTGACAACGGATGGTTTGAGTACCCTCTGATACCGCGCCAGATCAAAACTCCCATCTTCCAGCTCTTTACTATCCGGGTCACCAGCCCAACAGAATGTCCGACACTTCTCAAGCACCGTCTCATCATCAGTTAAAGTCGCCTCGCACCAGGTCCAGATGTAAGCACCGGTCTCGTACTCCTGCAAACGCTTGAAATGCTCTTCCTCTTCTACCTTCCACACCACACCTGACACCTTCCCATCGCCATCGCCAGGTATTAACGCTGGGTACATGCTCCACATTCTGACTTTGAAGCCAAAAATGGTTGCAGGTCGTGTGGTGGGAAGCTCTGGAAGGCTCAGGACCGCTTGTAGGACTTCCGGGTCCATAAGTGAGCCGTACAGGAACATGTTGCAAGGACTAAAGGATTGATCAGGTGGAACTCGTAAGGCATTCGTACTGTGACCATGCTTTGTTTGAGATGGTGGTGCTGATACTTTCAGGTTTATGGCCTTTGAGGCGGGCTTTGGGGCAGGCGGAAGAGGAGGTGGGGTTGGAGCAGGCATGGTAGCAGTATCTATAGCACTGTCGCGTTCATGAGAACCCAGATTATCGTCACAGAAAGATGAGTTACGGGCTGTGTGGCATTCAGCGCGTCGAAGAAGGCTGCAGCCTAGGTAGCGTCCACGTACACAGCCTCGGGCATCATCGGCCCCCGAGCCTGTGTCGGATCCAATTACCGCAGCGCAACAACAAAAGAACACTATCGCTTCCTCTGAACGACAACTCTCACTCCCTGCGTCCCCGGCTTCGCGCGCGGAACAAAGCTATCAAGGTACAGGTCAACGGCATCGCGCCCAGTCTCAAACAGCGCGCACTCAAACCGCCGAAAGAAACTCGCAATGCCAATGTACAAATCCGCGTACGCAAGCTGCATGCCCACGCAGCTTCTCGTTCCACGTCCAAATGCAATCAGGTACTTTGTTAGCGCCTTTCCATCTGGCGCCTTTGCATCGTTTGCCCAGCGCTCCGGTATGAACGCGAAAGGATTGGGGAAAATGCTTGGATCATGAGAGGCGGTGTAATGGTCCATGCTCACGATAGTGCCTACAGGGAGCTGGTAGTCTCCTTCGGGGGTGTGGTAGACCATGGGTGTTGGCGAGAGGCGAGGGATGCGCTGAGGAGTGCCGTAGCCGAATCTCAGAGCTTCGTTGACCACGCCAGTCAAGTACGGCAACTGCATCAACGCGTCGAGATTCGGGATGTGATTCGGATCTGGAATCGCTGCGTCGAGTTCAGTGCACAACTTGGCCAGCGTCACAGGACTGGCGAGTAGGTGATACGAGCATGTCGACAGCGTGTACATTGTTGTTTCGATTCCCGCGCCGATGACGGAGATGGCTTCGTGCTGCAGGCGTTTGGTGGAGAGTTCGCTAGGTGGGAGGTCGGACTCGAGGAGAGCTGTGAAAAGAGATGGGATGGCCATCGTCTTTGCTCCAGAGGCGTGTACGGCTTTAGCGTGCTGAATTTGCGTCTCCATCTCTTTGTTGAAGGTCATGACAGAGCGCATTGGCGGCGACAGGAGCACGACGAGCCAGTCTGGGAGCAGCTTTAGGGATCTGATCATCCATGGGAATTGCGTGATGAAGTGGACAGGGTCGAGAAGATCAACCCTAAAACGTGTTAGTCATGCTACGTGTATGATTCGACATAAGGTGGCATACATGGCGTCGGAGAATTGGGCGCGAAAGTCAGGGTTCAGGATGAAGTCATACGGCTTCTCGAGACAGTATCCGACGACAATGTCCGAAGTGAAGGCGCCCCACATATTATTCAGGTTCATCGTCTTCCCGTTGGCGACGAATTCGGAATCGATGCGATTGCAGAGACGATCCATATGACTCTGGACGTGAGGCGAGTACTGAGTTATCTTACGTTTAGAGAAGAAGGGGTTGAGCGCGCTACGACGCAAACGATGAAGACTGTGCTCAGCAGTAGCGAACGAGGGCATCTCATTGTTGAAGCGGTGCTCAAGATGCTTGAGCTTGTCCGAGTGGCGAGACTGCGCATACAGGGTATCGTAGAAAGTGGGATCTTGGATGTGTACTTCGTTTGGACTAACACGCACGATAGGCCCTGCAACGAAGTGGTGAGCAAACAGTATTTGCTTCCTGAACCATGTAGACATACCGTATTTCTCGTGCCATTTCTGGTATTCCCACATGAATTGCCCACCGGGTGCCTTGAAGCACTCATAGTACGTTTCGACCCATTGCGTCAACGCGGCAAGCCTAGGACCTGGAACGCTCCGCAGAGAATGGAAGCAGAGACGATAGATGGAAACGCAAAGTACGTATAACGTGAGGAACACGCTAGACACAAGTCCAATCCGCCCGTAGGTCGAGGACACAAGGTTGTGGAAGAGTTGATTCATGACAGGATTCTGAGGATCTCAACCGCAGCCCGTTTGCGCAGACATATTGTATCAAAGCTTTCGAGCTGTACGAACGTGCACCTGAAGCTGCAGAGTGCTGACTTGAAGCATGCCTGGCAAATTCACTGCGTTTGGTGGTTGCTGAGTAGATGAAGATGACCACGCAAAGTCATTGCAATCGGATCATCACGAGACGAGCGCGAACACAAGAATGTAATACACGGACCGCAATCTTACAGGATGCTGACCTTGCATTAGTGTGACGGGCCGCGGGTGGGTGTGCTACAGCCAATTAGGAGCCATCAAAATAATCATAAATGTAAACATCAAGCTGTGCCACGCTCGTGCACGCTGCTTAGAAATGGCAGCTCGGTGCCTTCCTGCTAGACAAGGCTGCAGGTGACCGTGCAGTGTCACGTGGCTACTCAACTCACGGAGTAAGAGCCATGGAGCTGAACCATGATATTGGCCGGCTCGCGCTATAACCGACTGCATCTAACTGCAACCTACATACCATTCTCACCATACCCGCTGCACCTCCGAAAACATGTCCGGAAAGACGTATCTCATCACGGGAGCTAACCGCGGTACGTGCCTTTGACCTACTTGGTATTGCTAAACTGATTTGACTGGATATGCAGGCATCGGCCGCGGCATGTTCGACCATTATGTCGCACAGTCAAACAACACCCTCATTGCTGCCGTGCGCGACCCTGCCGGTGCTCAAGCCCTGCTCAGTGTTTCCAAAGGCGAGAACACCAAAGTCTTCATCGTCAAGATTGACTCGGCGTCCAAGACAGACCCATACGAGGCCGTGAAGGGCATCGACAAGATCGACGTCGTCATCTCAGCTGCTGGTATTGCGCCGCTCAACACCGTCGCCGATGTGCCACTCGAGGAGTTCGAAAACGCCCTCCAGGTCAATGCCATCTCTGTCATGATACTGTACAAGGCGACCCTGCCCTTGCTCAAGAAGTCAGACTCGGCCCGCTTCGCCTTCATCAGCGCTGCTGGCGGCAGTATCAACAACATGCCTGAGTTTCCTTATCCCAATATCAGCTACACCGGCTCCAAGGCGCTCGCCAACGTCATGGTCCGCAAGATGGGTATGGAAAACGACTGGCTGATCACGCTGTGCATCCATCCTGGGTAAGATATCCCCAAGCTTGTCGTGTGATGCCGAAGTTGACATGTCGTGTGAATAGCCTCGTTCAAACAGACATGGGCAACATGGGCGCACGCGCTTTCGGTCTGGAGAAGGCACCGCTCACCCTCGAGGACAGCAGCAAGAACACTGCGCACATTGTGAGTTTGATAACTTCTCTACAGCGTTGTCTGTCGTTAACGGGGCTCTAGGTCGATAATGCCACCAAGAAGGAGCATTCTGAGCAATTCTTCAACGAGACCATTGACCGCCGCTACCCTTGGTGAGACGAAATGTTTGATGGTAGAGGGAGGATCGTGTCTGGACAATATGAGGATGGGCATATCGGACGACTGTGCGACGTGGAACTGGTCTTACGAATTAGTATTGTAGTTGGCATATCGAGATAAATCATTTGCACCCGACGCCTTATGAGGAAAGTTGCAGACAGCGGTTACTGTTTATTATTAGCCCGAAAAGCCATGAGTCCTTTTAACAGACTCTGTGTTGCTTCACCGTACTTTAGCCTTTGCCAATGCTCACAACAGCGATAACAAATCCTAGCTATTTTTCGGGCGAAAGCCCTCGATCCTTCGCTACGAGAGCTTCCTTGAATCTGTCACAGCTCAACTTACCTTTCGCACGCTTGTTCAGATCACCACCATGTCGGACCAGGACCTCTACTACCTCCATCGAGCCGAGAGAAAAGGCCATATGCACGGGAGTCCAGCCGTGAACATTCATCGCGTTGGGATTTGCACCGGCTTTGAGTAGCCTCGACATCACCTTCACATGTTTACCAAGACTGGCCCTATGCAGAGCTGTGTTGCCGTCACTGTCGGGTTCATCGACGGTGTACCCCGAGCCCAGCAGAAGACCTACGAGGCTGTCATGACCGGCCTCGGCCGCGATGTGGAGGTTGGTCTGAAAGGGCTCGTCGTCGTCGAGGTCGTTGTCTTCTCCAATGCGGCCATCGACAAAGAGGTTGGGGGTGATTATACGAGTGTTGATTTGTGACTTGCGCTCATGTTAGTGATTCGCCAGCTTTATGACACGTCTCGAAATTTACCGCATCACCGCTGCTTTCAGACCCAGTTTGGGCGCGGCTCGCTCCGATGTCAGGCCACGCGGTTCTGTTTGTGTCTTGATTGAAGTAGAAGCCCCCAGCGTCGTCAGTACTGAAGACCATGGCCTCGGCTGGAGGGTCGTGGGGCCATAGCACAGCGTGACGTGACTGTGTCATAGACGGTGGGAAGTTGAAGTCGGTCATGTTCATGTGCGAGCTGCATGTCACTCAGCCAGATCGCCACGCCATAGCATTGAGAGTATCTTACCGTGGTCGCAACGATGGCGAAATAGGCGAATCTTGAAGTTGGCGGAGCAGCCCTGTAATTGTGACGTCCCCTCGTAGTGTGTTGCCGTCATTGGGGGTCGTCGATGGGGGCATCGGGTCTTGCTCCGACGTCTGTAGTCCAGCTGCGTGAGGGTGAGATAGCCTTCCCTCGCTGCCCCATGCCAGCACATCGTGGTTTGACTGCGGGCGCGGCTGTATAATTGGCCCGCTCGCTGTAGCTGCAGCGGACGGTGCCGCCGCTGTCGTGAATGGCTCTCCTCCATTTTTAGTCGCCTTCTTGCCTGCAGTGCCCGAACGGTCAGTATCAAAGGGCCGAGTAGTCGCAGAAGCCTCAATAATAATAGAAGGCGCGCCTTTGACTCGGACTAGGGCCCGGCCTTGGTTCGGGCCTTCTAGCAGTCTAAATCACTTACTGCGAAAGCGTCGCTGTGCGTGTCGGTTCTGTATCTTTCGCCGTTCCACGGCATCCATGGAGGGTTGCATTGTTACGGCACGGGCAGGTGGCTTGAGCTATATAGCGAGCAAGAATGGCTAAGACTCACGTTAATGACTGCGCACACGTGCAGGGTCTCAGGCACCCGCTGAAGACAGGGCCGAGTGCTGTGGGTGATCTCAGCCCGGCTCGGAGTTTGGCACTACTCTGTCTAGCGCCGAGAGCTAACCTTGTTTCGGTCTAGACTGATCACGTGATAGCCACGCCGTCAATCAACTGCCTACCTAGGTATACAACACACTTCGCATGATGCTATATCTTATTCTATCCACAAGATTACAATGTACACATACACGGTGAGAGCTTCAAAGCAATACTGACGACTATTCAACACATCGCTATCTTGTGTGATGTACCTAAGTAGAGTTGCGAACTCGGAAACTACTCTCCGTACACCATAGGAGAATCATCCAATTCTGAATTTGATTGTCTTCCGTGCAATAGCAGGCGACTTTGTTAAGACCGCAGGCGCGTATTTCCATATGCGTGTCGATTTGTAAACACACTCATTGGCAATAAGTGCCTGTGAGCATTGGGGGTTGCAGACGAAGGTATGCGCGGCTGAACGCCCAGCGAGGTCGATATAAGGCAATCAGCAAAGGCAACCAGTGTGGCGTTTCTAGCGTTCCAGGCCAGCGGAACTCGTCGAAAGTTGCTCACCCGAAACGTGGAGAGCGGGCCGTCGATTATGTTACACTAATCATGCAAGGTCAGCATCCCATGGAATTGCGGCGTCGTCCGTGCATCAAGTCCACATTTGCAACGCAATATGTCTTTGTCTTTGTCTTTGTATCTGCTGACATTTCAGCCGCAATTGCTCGCGCTTGCGATTGACCGAGCTGACAAAGATGCAAACTGTGTCACACGTGCGCGCTCCTTCGAGTTTGGCTTATCAATTCAGCCAAACATGATCGTAGGTCTACGGTTAAGTAGACAACTGTGCTGATCAAACAACCCATACATGTCACCCTTCTCTGCATTGTTCTCCTGCTTCAAGTCCGACAGCTCCAACACAGATCAATCTACCAGCAAAAAGACTTCGAACTCGTCAACTCCCAGCGACAATTTCTCCACTATGGCAGGAACAACTTACCTCATCACTGGCGCTGCTAGAGGTACTTCTGGCTGACCTAGCATCTTATTCGATGTTCAACTAACCATTCTCCAGGCCTCGGAAAGGCAATGGTCGAGACCTACCTGGCGCGCCCAAACAACACCGTCATTGCCGTAGCACGCACCACCAGCTCCGCGGAGCCACTCAAGTCCCTCCCTACCGGTAAAGACAGCAAGCTCATCGTCATCGCCTACGACAGCCGCGACGCCGAAGGCCCGAAGAAAGCCATTGAACAACTCAAGAGCCAAGGCATCACCAGCATCGACACCGTCATCGCCAACGCTGGCATCTCCTCAGACTACGCCCCCGTTGCGTCAGTCTCTCTCGACGTGCTCAAGTCGCACGTCGAAGTAAACGCTTACGGCCCCCTTCTTCTCTTCCAAGCTGTGCTGCCCATGCTACTGAAATCGTCCAACCCCAAGTTCGCTGCACTCGGAACGCCAATCGCCAGTATCACCGGTATGGAGAGCCGTCCGTTCCCCATGGCTGCGTATGGAATGTCCAAAGTCATGTTGCACTGGATGGTTTGCAAGGCGCACTTTGATCACCCGGAGCTTACCGCCTTTGTGCTGGATCCTGGATTCGTACAGACTGACATGGGTAATGAGGGAGCGAAGACGTTTGGTATGGAGAAGGCATTCATTACTGTTGAGGACAGTGCCAACTTCTTGGTATCGACGGTAAGTTTTTCGCGAGGCTGCTGTGCAGAGTTGATGCTAACGTTGCGTAGATTGACAAGGCCACGAGGGAGGAGACCTCGGGACACTTTCCCACGATCGAGGGTGGGGACTTCAAGTGGTGATCTGGATCGCTGTTTACTCGCCATGGGGTCTTTCCTAGTCATTGAAGAGGAAAGGAAGTCCAGTACGAGGCTTTTATGCCGGCGTAGGCTTAGTACTGGTGCACTGGATGCGTGATGACGCTCGTACGAGATGATTTTGCCCTGCCAATTCAAGCATTCTCATGATCCCTTCTTCTTCCCTGGTTTTATCTCCAGTCCTTTGAGGTGGTAGACTCGAGTATATTGGCAATGTTTCGGATGCGCTTTTAGTGATGTGTGCTTTGGTGCGTCGTAGAAGGACTGTATCGAAAGTGCTGTAGCCTAGCGTGAAGCGGGCACAGCCTCGTGGCTGCCCCCGGGGCCGCTGGACTCGCCCTCGCTACCCATGTAGAACTCAGATAGAGACAATCTTGTAAGCGACGAACATCGGGCTGGCGTCTAAAAGCCCGCGAGAACGAAAGTTTCCACAAGCTTTGCGACACCTAGGAAGGACTCGATAGATTCCACGCTGACAGCCTAAGGTGATGCAGAACAATGTAAGCCTCAAACAATGTGTTGGTATAAAGTGTGGGTGCTGCGAGTAACTCGTCGTGGTCTATTGGCTCACTGTAGTACCACTGGATACATCGAACAGCAACCAAGGTGCGGTATAACGTGTGGCTATGACTCAGAAAGAGGAAAAGCATACATAAAGACTGTGAAGGCGCGACCTGCAGCAGAAGAACTTCATCTCTCATACACTGCTTAGTCCAACAAACATGATGGAATACCCCGACGATCTAGATCTAGAAGGCATGAACGCCCTGGACGAACTGACCGGCGATGCCGCACCATTCGATCATACTGCGGCACCCAAGCTGTCCTCCGAGCTAGAAGATCTCATCCGAGCCACCAAGTGTCATACTCCAGCGAATGGAACCCCCAAGCGCAAATCGAGCAAAATGGACTACCTCTTCAAGATCACAGCCCCCATCACCACCACAATCCTCGCCTCTGCCGCCATCCTGCCCACCCAACCCAAAATCCACGAAGGCCAAGGCGAAGACGGCGACGCACTATTTTGTCAAATCCGCGACATCGACATCCCAACGATCCAGAAATGGCTTGCGGAGGCATACCCCACCATCTCACCAACCTTCATCCCCATCAACATCGCACGCAAAACCCTCTCTCCATTCTCCGCATACCCAACTCTCGGCTACGACACCACACTCCCCCACCGTCGCCCTCAAACCATCACGCCCTCCGACTACCTCCCAGCACAAAACCAATATCCCGTGTGGTACTTTTTCTACGGCACCCTAGCCAACAGCTCCCACCTAGCCCATCTCTTCGGTTCGCCACCAGGCCAACAACACACACTTTATCCAGCTATGATACATTCGGGAAAAATCAGAACGTGGGGTGGCAAGTACAAAGCTTTGGTCGATAACCCGGGTACGTGTGTGGAAGGCTGCGCGTACGAGGTTGTGTCGCAGGAACAAGAAGATGCGCTGAGGGCGTATGAGACGGCGAAGTATGAGGTTGTGAGGGTGGAGATTATGTGTCGGATGGATTTTCGAGCGAGGTTTGTGAGGGGGTTGACGTTTCGGTTTGCGGCGGAGGAGGGGGAGTTGGATGAGGATGAGGGGGAGTCGGACGAGGATGAGTGAGTGGCGCAGCAGTTGTGGTGTAGTAACATATTAAACATTCGTAATAAAAACACCTACATAAATACAAGTGATCAAGATATAACTCGCCTGATAGCAAACCGCTATATCCTGAGAATGCCTTCTCAAAGATACTCCATGCGCCACGCTGTAAATGCAAACACAGAATGTAAACCCCCGCGGGTTGATCATAACTCAAAGTTGTCAAGCCAGTGCTTAATAACCACCTTACCCTCATTGAAAGAAGGCTTGTTCATGCGTACAACGATAGCCGCATGCGAGTGTCGATGGTTATGAATGTAGACCGGGTGCTTCGTGAAGCCAACGTTGTCCAGCGCTTCAATCATCCCGAATTGCTCTTGCGTGAGAGCTAGCGTGGGGAAGGTGGGAATCGCGGCCTCCTTTTGCTCTTGTATCGAGTCGACGTCGGATCTGGACTCGTCCTTGCGTGGAGAAGCAGACCCTACGTGTTCGTAGCTCTCGCTCAAGTATTCTTGGCTCTGAACGTGGTTTGCGTTTTCGTACATGCCCTCGGCCTCGCGCCGTACGGCATTGATCATGAGCGGTATGCGATAGCGCGCGTAGTCGATGCCAGACCTACCCTCCTCGTGTAGTCTTATCCGTTGCTGGCTGCGGATCGATTGGAATGCCGAGTTGATGAGGAAAGCCGACACGCCGATTGGTACGAGGACCGTCAAGGCTGCGACAATGCCCGTCCTTCCAAGTATTGTCCATGTACCCTGTACCAGCCGCTGTGATAACGCCGGGGGCTCTTCTGGCTCCTTGTGCGAGACTGGGTGCTGGCCATCGACAATGACATCTTCGTAGTCTGGGATATAGTTTATCTTGATGTCGTCCGGGTCGACAAAAGGGTCGGTTTGCGAAATACCGGCGGTGTAGTATGTGACTGTTCGATCGTTCACGACGTTCGCGTATAGACTCCGATGCTTGAATTGAGCAAGGCCTCGGATGAAGATGCTTTCGGAGTCCGCAAGTACGGCTAGAAGTGATCTGTCTGTATCCCTAAACTTGTCCACGCCAAAGAGTTGTCTCCCGCTCATGGAGAGTGTTCGGGCACCTAAGACGTTCCAGATGTGGCTGTGGTAGCCTTTGAGGGGTGTTCGTACGCCGAGGTGTGGTGTCGCAAACGTTGTGAAATTCTGGTGATGTTAGTTTACTGGATTGAGGGTCGTGGAGGGCAGTGTAGACATACGACTGGTTGTATCTTCTCGAAGATGCCTCTGTGGAACAGCAGGCCGATAGCATAGCGTGCTATCAAGCCTCCTAGCGAGTAGCCAACGACACTGATCTTCGTTATGTCGTGTCCAGCCTCAGCGAGCTCATCCAACTTTCTCTCCACCTCTTCTGCCACGCGCTCGCCACCGGTATCGATGCCATCGTACGTGAAGCTGCCAGCGTTGCGCTTGGCCACGAGGATGTGCAGTTTGTCTTCTGGATATCGTTCGCCTAGAGTAGTGCTGACGTATTTGAGGTGCTCAGGCTTGCCCCAGAGGCTGGGTGTGGTCAGCGACAGTGTTCCCTCTTGTCATGATAAGAGGCGATAAGGCGTGCGACGGAGACAGGGACGTACCCATGAACGAGGACACAGAGGTGGTCGGCTTTCTTAGAAGTGCTCATGGAGGTAGACATGTCGAAGGTATCTTAGCTGACCTGGGTATCACGGTGAAAGGCGCAGTATTTGTATATCGCTCGGGCGTCCACAAGTCGTCCGAAAGGCGCAGTATGACCCGAGACGCGCGCAGTCCGAAAAGCAATTCCTATGCGACGAGGACACTTGTGATGTCGCGGAAAGTGGCGAGCTTGTCAGAATATGATGTGTAGATGCGCAGGTTTATTCAGGGCCAGTTGCGCATACATTCATGGGTATTGACGCTGGCTGGAGGGTGAAAGGGAGGCGGCCTGGAGATGCGCACAGGTTGCATCACCGCGTCATGACGGAATTAAGGCGGATCGCCGTCGCAAGTTCGCCCGCCCGCGTCCGTGGACCCTGCGTCTAGCGCTAAACATCTACAGGGCTGAGATGCGCATCTCACCTCATCTCTCACCTTCACCGTCTAGCCCGCTTTAGCTCTTTCGGGACAACTGGAGCTCACACTAGAGCTGCTGGTAACTTTGGGTGCAGCGCATCTCTACAATACTGCCCTTCGTGAAGCTACAAGAAGACTTTTAACGCGCAGGCTGTCGTACCAGCCGCCTTTGCATCTACATCAATCTTTTCCTGCGCAATGAGATGTTGAGAGCTTGACCATCACTCCCTCAGATCGTTGCCAAGTCGTGCAATCAAGCGTGTGGCTGGTGTCAGACCCAAGGCCAGTTCCCATCTTCGCATCCATTGGCTGTATAGCTCTTCGTCAGCTCTAGCCTGGCACCTCATGCAAGAAAAGAATTGAACAGGTCTGCAGACTACATTAAAACAAGAACTTGCAAAGTAGGTCAGCTAACGTCAACGTAGGCTCTAGAGTGTTCAGTATTTTCCTAAGATAGCGTGCTGGTAGGTCACAGGCGCGTACAGCTTTGTATTGGATTTACTCACAGGAAAGAATCGTTGCAACGCAGCAATCATGTGGCCTTCAGTACCAGCTTACAGAAGTTTTGCCAACGTAGCATGTCCTTCGGGTGCAAAGTGTGAGCTGCCTCACTGCATCTTCGGTCACGATTCTACAAAACCCACTACAACACGGCGATCTCCATCGCCAGCTGCAGCAACATATGATTCGGAGCCAATCGCGAAGAGACTGAAGCTTGACCACGACAAGACAGCACCCATTATCACCAAGCCTACATCGGCCCAGAACACGCCCGATGTCTCGGTCAGCACGGACATACCCAAGACCAAGACACAGACAACAAGCAATGGGTCTGCGGCTGCTAACCCTGCCCCTTCTAAGGCATCTGTCGCAAATGCCACTACCTCTACTCTCCCTAAGTCTGCCACGCGGCTAGTATCACCACCTCCAGCTGCAACTGCGCCCAAGGCTGCCGTCAAACCCGATGCTCCTGTTACTTTGATGCCACGCAAACTCAACAAAGAACCAGCCACCTTCACCAAACGGGTTGCTTTACTCAAGGCGTTACATTCCTACATGAAGCCGCAGAACGACAAGCTCCTCAAAGCAGTCAAGCCTGAGATCAAAGCGCTGCATCTATCCGCAAACCAGCTCAACAAGCTAGCAGTTGACGAAGAAGAAAGGATAGCTACATCAAACCCCTCGGTATACGAGAACATACTCAAGCAGCGATTGGTCAAGTTGAAAGGCATGCCGGCAGAGGAATGGGTAAAGGAACGGCGCGATGCGGTAGCCAAGGAGAGTGGAGAGCCACCAAAGAAAGCACCACCTAAGAGAATAGACA